AATCAAAGGTCCTGTTATTTGGTTACTCATGCAAATTAGGCAATTGGACATAAACATTGCCACGTGTGAGTGTTTTTAATTTTTAACCAGAAAATAAACAGCAATTTTAACGGTGTTCCAATAAGAATTCATTGGTCAAATTTTCACAGAATGTTCTTTAGATAAAAATCTATATAAAAAACGAAAAAAACTATTTTTGATTGAAATTCACAAATAAACTGCATCTCTACCTTAATATGAAATTGCTAATACTACTGTAACCCATTTTGTTGAAAACCAATCCACCTTACTCTGCCATGTGATTGCGATATAAACACAGAAGTGATATTTAAAAAAATGAAATCAACCTTTCGGAAAATTCGTTGTGAAAATAGGTGATATAAGTAGCATCCAGCCACAACTCGTATGCATAGCAAAGTATGTAATAAGGAAAACATTTGCCAATCATAGTTACCGTTAAAATCCTCGTTTTCGGCTTCAGTGTTAAAGAGTTCTCATGAAAACATGAAAAGTACCTATTACTAACCGCACCCCGATTCAACAAGACCGTGACCGACTTTGTTTCAACCAGCTGGTACATTGTTTCTAATCCTATTCATTTGTTTCAACAACATGCCTAAAAATATTCACACCTCTTTATTGTTCAGTCGTGTTAGGATGTCAAACACGCAGTGAAACTGCTTTTGTTCTTGCAACAACATTTGTCAATACGTCTGCGTGTCGCAAGTTTTCGACAATGAGCTGTTATCACCGAAAAACTGTTAAATGCTTTTTCAATGCTCAGTTTATCTTTCGAAAACAACCAATTTCTTGATTTAAAAAAAAAGTCATGTCGTTTTCCTCGTGGTAATCAAAGCCAAAAGATTGCACTACATTATCGGTAAATCTCTTCCGGGGTTCGTTCACCATGAAGTCGGTGACCTGTCATTAACATATTTAAATGAACCAAAGTAATTTGAACTCGTGGGCACCATCCAGCATTTTGATTGGTTAATTAGCAACTTGAGTAATAATCAACAATTTCAACACTTCGATAGTGTGGTAGATAATACTACATTGTATTTCTCAGACAATTGCCCCTTGCTGGCTAACAACTCGTCTGTCAAAGTATGGAGCACATGGTAAGAGGTAGGTATAGAGGCCCTCCCATACATCCTGTTGTGGTGTCTGGTCACCTGGCAGGATTTTAACGGTACTGATTTCCTGAAAATAGTTTACCTTCAAATAGTTTTAATGTCATTTTAAGCACATTAATTTAAAATTAATAACAAATCAAATCCAACAATGAAATTCATTTGAAAATTTCATTTCAGATCATTAAAACAAACATATAGACTAATTTGCATACCAATAACTAATTAAAAAAGATGGATAGTTGTTTATTACCATCTCTAAATAATGTTATTAAATTGGTTCTCACCAATTATTAGAAATTCTGACTAATTTTATTTATTATTTATGTAACAATACTTTAACACAGATTTTCCCAAAAGGTTTATTTTTTCAGACGATATTCAAACATTATTCATTTTTTGTAAAAAAAACAACAACAATATATAACACTTTTGAACCAAAAACAGTTTTTGATCTTGTTCAATAAATTGAATGTCCACAACAAATACATATATGAGACCGTGTGGAACATACTTTTCATTTTCAGGTTAAATATCCAACACCCACACCGCCCGATATCACCAATCCACGATATTCAATCTGACATCACTGGACCAACTAAAGACAGTAATTTGATAGAATCCTATGCCGAGATGACTTCCTTACATGACAATGAAGACAAATCTAATAATGACAGTTTACTACAAGAGATGACAATTCCTGCTGCTATCAAAGCTAATCTGGACAGTAATTTAGATAAAGATACTGGAAGTAAAAGTATTGAGACACAGGCCACTGTTGCTACATCCAGTGCTGCTACAGGTACATGTATGTTATACAGTCATTAATCTGTGAAACGTTCAGGTATGAATTGGATTTTCTCTGAAACCATTGAGCAAATACTGATAACACCATAGTTGTACTTCATATGAGAAGACGAAAAAAAAAAAAAAAAAAAGATAGGAAATTAATGATGCACTGTTTTTTTCAGTGTCTCACCCAAAGTAGTTTGACAAGAGAGATTCAAACTCACCTTGCCAATCACTTGCTAACAATTAGAATTGTTCAAACCAAATTTAAGATTTTATGTCATGTTCGTCATACTTCCATTGTTATGGATTCATGCAATCAAGATACCAAAAAAAAAAAAAGGGTCACCAGCTATTTTTTGAAATACACGGTATGAATTATTTCTTCACAGCTAAAAATTTTGCTTGGTGACATGGGGTAAAAAAATCAGGTATTACTATTAGATATGAATCACAATATTGTTAAATTTTGAAAAATAATTTAGACAAGTTTCAGTATAATAGTTTTCCTTTATTTTACAATGGGAATGTCTCTCCCATAATGCATTGCATTTAAGATCAGAATGTTACAAATACAATAGTTTGTAAAAGATTATTCATATGATCAAGTTATTGGATTGAATCAGTTCCCAACATTACGTATGATCAAAGAGGTTATGAGAATACAAAATCAAAATCACACCTTTCTTCTTTGCTTTGTGACATTACAGTAACTACCCCCAGTCAGGATTTCAGTGCAGTCAGTACAGAGGCTGCCGACATAGTGTCAAGTACTCCTGAATTGTATGGTGCCACATCTCCAGAATCTAATGAAACTGTACAACCAAGGCGGTGAGTAGGACAAGAAAGGACAATCTGTTCTCATTGATATGCGCTTTCCCAAGTAATATGTAGTAAGAGACTCAGCCTGAATGTATATTTGAAAATTCAAAATGGATATCAGACTTATTCTTTATAAGAATAAGTAATCTTTAGTCCATTAAAGTATTATCAACTATTAAAATTGAATGAACACACATTTGAACACTACTTTTTTAGCTCTGCTGTCGACTAAGTCAAGCGGAGCTTATAGTATTACTGATTGTCCGGCGGCACCGTCGTCGACTTCTACTTAAAAATCACAAACTGTGAAACTTTCTAGGAAAGTACCTTGGGTGGTTCTCTCTCAGATTTGTTCATTTCGTATAGATATGTTAAATTGTCTTATTTATAGCGAATATTTTTGTCATTTTTAGTCAAAAATGCTATTTCTTGAAAACCGCTAGCCCAAATGCTTTGATACTTGGTATGTAGGTACCTTTGGTAGACCTCTCTCAGATTTGTTCATTTTGTGATGATATCTTTAATTCTCTAATTTTGATGAATATTTTTGTCATTTTTGGTAAAAAGTGATGTTTTTGACTTCTTGTTAAAAACCGAAAGTCCAATTGCTTTTATATTACATATCTATTTACTACATGTGGACCTCTCTCAGATTTTTTCATTTCGTGATGATATCTTCAATTCTCTAATTTTCATGAATATTTTTGTCAGTTTTGGTAAAAAGTGATATTATATATACTACATAGGTACTACAGGTAGAACTCTCTCAGATTTGTTCATTTCGTGATGATTTTGTTCTTCAATTATCTAATTTTAATGAATATTTTTGATAAAAGTTATATTTTCAAATAAGTAAGTCTGATTACTTTAATACTATTTTCTGATGATATCTTCAGTGTTTTAATTGAAATGTGCATTGATAACAGCAGAGCTATCTCAGCCGACAGGCTGCTAGTTTTGGACATAATATTATGCTTCAAAATATTCTGAAAGTGTTTCATAATGTACATGTACAATAACTATTCCACAACTTTTAAGGTGTTAAGTGGTTCACACATCCCTGTTAGATATAGTAACTATTAGACACATATGGTAACTATCTATGATTCCATTGTTGAGTACTATCTTTCTTTATCAATGTTAGTTCACTCTACAAATCTTTATCGTTTTGTGAACTTGAATCACCTTCCTGTTAAATAACTTGTTTTGTATTTTGTGATCATGATCAGTATAATCTGCACTTTTGTCAGAAACCAGTGAACAATCTCAAATTTTGTCTATTTGGTTCAGCAGAAATGCTGAGCAAATTGATTTCTTAATAATTTGTGGGAATACAACTGGTGGTTAAATTGTGATGGTGTGCTGCATTGTGTGTGTACTCTCTCAAAAGATTGATTCTATGACTTGATATTAAAACTGCATACCATATTTACTGTATTGCATATGCACAAGCGTATTTCCTATAGAAGCACATTCAAAACAAAAATTGTATCCTGGATTGAAAAAAAAAATATATATTTTATAAGCGTGTGTGATCCTAATAGAGTTAATATGGTGTTTGTAGAGAGATAGCACCCACAATTGCTAGAATGTAAGACACTATGTAGTTCACATTCCATTCTCTGTTCAATTTGCGTCAAAATATGACATACCAGGTACAATAGAACATGAGTCTGTTTTCAATTTGTAGTATAGCTGTCACATTCTTTGTTTTAATGTAGATTAGATAAAAAGTATTTATAATTGTCTGTTTTCACCGCCTAGTAGCAGCTCATCTAACCTTACAGTATATGGGATATTACATTACATTTCCAA